TGAACTTGGGTCCTCTGAAATAGCAGCAAAAATTCTTTGCTCCTGAGCTACCACATCAGCCCTGAAAATCAGTTAGAACAGCTACCACTAAAATATTTTCTTTCTATTATTGATTTATTTTTTGCTGGGCACAAACAAAATTTTTGAAGAAGATTCTTCTTCTGAGAAGCCCAAGTTTTTCAGAAATGTCTAAAAATTTAATTACTCTCTTCCCCCCATATTTAATGCTTGTTATTGTCCACCAAAAGCACTTAGGCTTGGACAGCTCCACAAAAAGAGACAGCATGCTAGAGACCCCTTCTATCTAGAAATTTGCAAGGTTATAGCAAACCCCATCTCTTATGGGAGTAGTCAGGGTTCATTGATTTACCACTCCTTCCTCCAGTAGAATTAATCAGAGATGGATAGCAGGAAAATAATGGATAATGGGCAAAAACCAAAAAGATAAAGAAAATATTTGTGACATTTACCTTAATGGTGAAGAAATTTTTAAGCAAATGTATTCCCTGAATAATACCACCTCTTTACTGGGTGGTCAAATCCAATATGGAGGGAGGGAGACAGATTTACTGACATTGCAAAGTTGACCCAAGGGTCACTGGCTTTTCCTTGCGTGTATGAGGAAGTGACTCTTCCATAGCCACTTCCTTCCTTCCTTCCTTATATTGATATATCAGCATACTTAATTACTACACTAACAAAATATCTCTTAAACACCATATAAAGGCTGGCAGATATTAGGAAAATAGAAATTTAATGAAATACCTAGATAGGCCTTTTTCGGTATCTTTAGTCACATATTGAAGGCCACACCGATTGCTGGGAGAACAAGCTTGAGAGTAACTCTGTCACACTGTTGACAACCAACAGTAACTTAATTCATTTTTCATCTTTATTGCTTTTCTCAGGCAACTTTAAGGTCACAGTAAATAGGTAACATGGACAATATTTTAACTGTACAATTTTCCTTTCTTTGATATCAAGGTTTTATTTCTGGGTTCTCAGTGGTCTGAGCAGAAAAGTGTGAGATCTAAAGAATGGAATTTATCATTTGAATTTTCTTTAGAAAGAAACAAGAAATAATTTCCAACATGAAGGAAAGCCAGCAAAAGAAGTAGAGTTCTAAAAGCAGAGGAGTTAGTAACACGTGACTATCCGGCCTTTTTGCTTTAGTTTTATGATCTACATTAGGAGTACAGAACTCTAAAAAGTAAAAAGTGACCTTCGCCAGGCTTTGGTGGTGCATACCTTAATCCTAGCACTCAGGAGGCAGAGGTAGGTGGATCAATGTGAGTTCAAGGCCAGCCTGGTCTACAGAGCTAGTGCCTGGACAGGTTCCAGAGCCACACAGAGAAACCTTGACTCAAAAACAAAACAAGAAACAAAAAACAAAAACAAAAAACTCAAACAAACAAAGTGACCTTCGTTTCACATCATCAGATTGTCATGGACCGCTCAGCAGTGAAACTTATGAAAGGTTATTGAAGGAATAGAAAGTATCACCCTTGATTGTAGAATGCAGTGGACTTAAAGAAGGCAAAAGCAGCATTAATGATGGATTATCAACTCCATTTCATGCAGCAGTTACAGTAAGAGTATTAGATGGTTAAAGACCAAAGATGAAAGGGAAATATTCAAATGGCTTTGTCAGAGAAGCCTTTTAATAGCACATAGCACTTTTGATTGGCCTCAAATGGCTTTGGGATCTTTGATATTACTGAGGCCTCCAAAGACAAGCATAGGCAGAGTAAGGAAGTCGATGACTTTGAATATACCATTGTGCAATGCAATAACGTGGTTAACTAACTAGACTCTGGAGAGCCCCTGGGGGATGTGTGCCAGCAACTGTGAAAAAAGTTGTAAGTGGCTCAGCTCCCAATTCTGCATTTCATTCTTTTGCTGGCCTTGATTTCTGTGGCCAATGAAGAGTGAAGAAAGTATCTCTCAGTCATCTCAAAGAATCAGCGAGAGGCTCGGGAAACAATGACCATGAAAGTGGTCTGGTTGCCGCAAGCCATTCCAGATGTTTTCACTCCTATTAAAAAACTATGGCATCATCACTAAGATTAGCTTATAACAGGAAACATTTGTGGCTATAATAAGGGGGACTGTAGATTTATTGATCATTTGATTATTGTCGTGAATAACTGGCATAGTTTCTTCTATTACTTGGACTCAGTGCATGTAAGACAAATGGCTTCACTTTAAATTGACAAGAGGAAAGTAATTATTTTAAAGTGCCCTGTACCCTCTGAGTGTTAATGCTGTCCTTCTCGAACTCAAAGAGTCTTTGGACCACCTGAATTCTTGTCTTTGCATAAGCCAACGTCAGAGGTGGCTACACAGGAGCCAGGCATGGCAGTGAGCCAGACCAATTTCAAGGTAGGGCCAGGTTTGGTTGCATGCTGCTTCCTGATTAGGTTGGGCGAATCAGCAGTCTACTTACAGAGTGGACTTTTTGTTACCAGAGTGCCAGCTATGATTACCTTTTTTTCTTAACTCTGTTCTATAAGTAATCATGGCAAATGGATTCAGAGTGCAAACCAGGTGGGGGGGAGCACATCTCTAATCGTGTTAAGGGGAACTGACACTCTCATTTTGTGGCCTTTTACACAGTCTTACCAGTTTGTGACAAAACTAATCTGTACGCTTAGTTACATTTAAAATAGCTTACTTAGAACTAACCCAGGTGTGCTTGTGTGTATACGTATGTATACACACATTTAAATACTCAAAAGCTAGTGTCATTAAACTATATTTTTCATGAAACCTTAGTAGAATGTGGTTTATTTTCTGTGGTTGAGTTTAATTGCTCAATGCCTTTTAGTCAGTTAAAAAAAGAAGTTTTGAAATGAAGTGTATCTTTTGTCTGTAGATATATTCTAATCTCTAGACGGCCAGTTTAATAAATCTACAGGCTGCTTGCTATAGATTGCCACTCCCCAGAAGAATGGAGGATTACTTTCATTGAGTCAGATATGATGCTGATGGTATCAGGAAGCTGCTGGACTCAAGACTTCCCACCAGCTTCTCCCAACTTCCTTCAACCAGACCAAGCTTCCTCCCAGAATGCATGTTCAAAGGTCTAAGACACCTTCCTGCTCAGCAATTGAAGTGTCATTATTCCACAAAAAGATGAGTGATGGAGCTGATGGAGGTTCCCATGGTTACAGGGGACAAAGAAAATAATTTCCTTCCAAGTCTATATTCTTACAGTTATCATGTTTACAGACTTTCTCTGCGAGACTACTAGGAGGCCAAAGGTTCTGAGAACTATCCAGAGGAGATCTGGTTAGACCTCTATAACAGAAAGCTAATGTACAACTTAGTGTTACAACCATGACTGCCGTAGGGTGAGACCTTTAGTTATCAGAAGTCGCCTCATCCGTTGTCTTCAGGAGGTCTCGCCAGGCTCTAGAGCATCCCTAATTTCCTCTGATCTGCTGAAAATTCTCACAAGTCAATGGGAAAATATCCCTCTGTATCCCAAGAAGTTTTTTGGAGGCATTCAGAGTGGATGCTGTCTTGTTGGCGATTGACTCCAACCCATGCGCCAACCTCACAGACAGGTCTCCCAGTTGCCATAGCCTCCTCTAGCTTCTAGGAACTGTGTCAAATCCCCACCTGGTAGAGGAGCCATGGCAGAAGGCACAATAAGGAGTCCCTGGTATTGCTTCAGGCTACAATCACCTTACTCATATGGAGAGCAAATACTCTCCGAGTTGAATAGCAAAGGCACCAGCCAAACACAAAGCATTCATCATCTTTCCAAGGCAATTTCCTGGGTGAGTTTTGAACATGTTGTTTAGTAGGCCAGCTAGAAACACACATGCACTTGCTGAATTACAAGCATAGGCCATCCAGTAACCAACTTTTATTTATTTTATTTATTTATTTATTTTTAAACTTTATTTAACCTTATTTCATGCACATTGATATAACGATGTCAGATTCTCTGGAACAGGGGTTACAGACAGCTGCGAGCTGCCATGTGGTTGCTGGGAATTGAACCCAGGTCCTCCGGAAGAGCAGTCAGTGCTCTTAGCCACTGAGCCATCTCACCAGCCCCCCCAACTTTTATTTTGAAGGCCATTCCTATCCCTGGTTTCAAGTGGAAGTAAAGACACTTTCATCATCTTTGTTTGGCTCTCAAAGCTGGCAGAATCCCAAAGAATCATTAAGCAACTGAAGGAAACGTACAATGACCCATGTTCAAGGAGAGGGAAATGGGAAAGTCTGGTTTTTCTTTTGTTTTTTTTTGTTTTTTTTTTTTTTGATTGAGTTCCATTCTAGTCAGGGATTGCATGATTGCATTTCGTGAACAAAAAAGTCTTCATTTTTAAGCACACAATTTAAATTTACTTTTATTTATGAGTATGCATGTATCTCTGTTGTCTGTATGCGCACCAAATGTGTGCAGGTGCCCCACAGAGGCCACAAGAGGATGTGGGATCCCCTGGAACTGGAGCTAGAGGAGCTAGGGAGCCAGTTCGTGGTCCTGAGTCCTCCTCAGAAGCAACCAGTGCTCGAACCAGCTCCCCAGGCCCAACAGTCCTGTTTGTAGTAATAATGGCTAAAGACGAAACAGAGGGTTTTCTAAAGCCAAACCTCATTCCTTTGGCTGCAGCCTTCCTACATGGCAAGGAAGGACATCCGCAGGGGTGTGTCTTCCCTGTGCAAGCTGGGCTTAAGCAGCCCTGACACAGGAAGGGGAGAAGTCCCCAAGGGGTGTCTGGCAGGAGCAGCAATCTTCTCCTGGGGCGGGACTTCAGCATTCTCCTCTGATTTGGCAAGGGGCCACTCCTTTAGCCATCCTCCTTCCTAATGCTGTTGCCCAGCCCCTCTGAACCGCCCCCTGGCACCCTCCCACCCCCCAACTCCAAGTCCAGGGAATTTCCCCAGCATCTCCAAGCTTGAGTTTCCTGCCTGGAGGAAGAAACAAGCGCAGATAAAAAGGGGGTACAGCGGGTTTGAGAGCAACACAGTGCTCTAGAGCCACCTCCAGCGTCTCTAGAACCGGTGCTCCCTAGTCCAGGGTCTTGTCCACAATGAGCCTCCTGCCCTGCTGTGCTGCCCACATCCCTGGCGGTTCCCGCTCGCTGTTCACGGTGCTGTCGTTTCTGCTGCTGCTCACACTGCAGCAGCATCTAGCTGAAGGTGAGAGCAAAGAACCTGCCGGGTGCACGGTGCCTGACACACCCCCGCCGGCTCGTCACGGGGCCCCAGGAGCTGGGAAAGGGCTCTGCCAGCACCTCCTATAACCCTGTCTCCTCTGCAGGAGGCCCTTCTGCGGTCTTAACCGCCACAACGGAGCTGCGTTGCGTTTGCTTAACCATAACTTCAAGAGTTAATCCCAAAATGATTGCTAATATGGAGGTGATCGCTGCAGGTCCACAGTGCCCCAGGGTGGAAGTCATGTAAGTTCTGACACTGGTCTGGTGGGTGCAGGTGACCTTGGGAGAAGAAGTCCTCGACCCCCACTCCCTCCCCTCACCCCCGGGATCTGGTCTTCAGTCACTTTGGCTCACTTGTTCATCCCCTTTGCTTTTTCTCCTTCTCTCTCTGCAGAGCTAAATTGAAGAACAAGAAGGAGGTCTGTCTGGACCCAGAAGCTCCTTTGATGAAGAAAATCATTCAGAAAATACTGGACAGGTACTTGCTACCTTGATCTTTGGGGGTTTTAGTCTTTGCAGACTGGCAAGGTCTTTGTTCTCCTGATACCATTTGAAATTCCAGTACCACATTCTAAACTGGGCTTCGAATTGACAAGGGAAAGTTATTCTGCGGTGTTCCAGGGAAATCTTTATTACAAATTCCACATCTTTGAGCAATACCCAGAACTCATTACTGGTGTGTGTGTGGGGGGGGGGGGGCGGTGGTGGTGTACAGGGTTAGGCTAGAGTGAGGAATTTTAGTTACTGATAGAATTGTTTTCTCAACAGTGGAAATAAGAAAACCAAGAGAAATGCACTTGCCCTGGAAAAACCGCCCAGGACTTAACAGAAAAATCTCTGAGGACTCTGGCCCCATTGAAGACAAGAAAGAAGGGCTGATTTTTTTTTTCCCTAGTGATTTTCTTTTTGAACTCCTGGCTTTGAAGAGGAAAGGGAAGCTGTCCCTGCAGCTTTCTGTTCAGTTTATGAGCGTATTTAGCAAAGCACACCCCATTCTTTTCTACGGTCTGTTACACTATTGGGAACTGTGGCATTTTAGCTTGTAAGTCAAGACTGTTTGGTTGTCAATCTTTTACAATGTTTTGAATTGAAAGTGACTATTGCATTTTTGTCTCTAGAAATATATATATATATATATATATATATATATATATATATATATCTGTTTATGCATGTATGTCTTGTAGTGTTCATGGAAGGCTGTGGAATTAACATATTAATGAAGTTCTTTTAGAAGTTGTTGATGGGGACACCCTCATCCTTTTTCATATGAAAAAATGGGAACTGTGTTGCTGTTGCTGCCTGTGTGTGTTCATCTTTCTTACAACTGAGCCTGGGGTGGTATATAACTTTATGATATTAGCAAGCCATGCAAAAACCTGTAGAGAATACATTTCCTTATTTAGAATTTCTACATGTGTAAGTTCTAGAAGGATTGATGTATTCTCATCTTACAATTTTAGACATTTGATGTCTTCTTAGTATGGCATAATGTCATGACTTATCATCAAACTTATTGTGTGCTATTTATTGACTAGTTTACTAAGTGCGTGTTATAGGTAGATGAAGAAGATAAGAAGCAGGTAACTTCCTGTCTAGTTTTCATAAAAACACATTTAACAGCTATTTTTAGTAAGAGAAACTTTAGCAAATATCTATACTCTTAGAGTTTTGAAAACATACTTAACGTGTTTGAATATGAATATATCACCTTGCCTTCTCCAAACATACCTGCATTGTTAAGGTATTTAGATGTCTACAGTGTGTCTTTTTGAGAATTTGATAGCTTCGTTATGAGGAAATTAATGTATCCATTATTTTAAGATTGTTCTTTTTAAAGTGTCTCATTTGTTTGTATTACTTTTGTTTGGAGAAAAAATAAAGTATCTCTGAATTTCATTCAGGTCGTTTCTGATTTCTTGGGATGGTGACTCTCATTATCCTGAATTCTACATTCTTCTCACGGTTAACTCTGCAGCTCCCTGGCCTGAAGAAAGGCCACATTTCCCTAGTTCCTTGCACTATTTCAGCCTTTCTCTAAGCTTACGCCCATTTTGCTAGTCCTGCAGGACATCAGTAGCTTCAGGGGACCTTAGAAAACACAAGAATGATAAGACGTCTTCATATTTGCTCCAGCTCAGTTCTCAAGCGAGTTCCAGAGGCCCATGCCTGAAAGACTGAGTCCCCAGATTCCTGTTTTTGGGAGGCAGTGGAACCTTAAGAAGATGGGGCCCAGACAGGGGATTTAGATCATAATGGACATGCCTTTCAAGAGGACATGAGGACCCTCACCCTTACCTTTGCCTTTCTTCCACCCCCACAGGTGAAAAGGTCTACCTCCTCCACCATACACTCTTGCCAGATAGAGCGTACTGCCAGAGATAAAACATTAAGAACCAAAACCCCAAACCTTCAAAACAGAGCCAAAAATAACTTTTTTAAAAACCCTTTTAAAGTTCACCATGGAAGATGTCTGTTCCAGTGACACAGAGCTAACTAGCCGACTCTGTAGTTCCTAGACCTAAAGTAAAACGTACTATAAAGCCCCCACCCCCAAAACAAATAAAATAAAAGGTACTATAAAGCCCAAAAAAGTAAGGCCTGCTGTTTTCTTCTCAAACATTGCATCTCCCTCACACTCTGTGATTGGGCATTTGGCTCTCTAGTCAGGCTTAGTCTGTTTTATTTTCTATGGCTCTGCCTGCAAGAGCTTTGCTCCTTTTTTTGCCACAGGAGCAGAATTACTCATCCTCCACAATCTGGCACCAGTGGTACCTTGTTCGTGACATTTTTTCCTTACCTTTCTCAGCTTAGCATCTTTCAGAGACTAAATGATTGAGTTACAATAGATATTAATGTTTGCTTGTGGGTTCCCCCATCCTAATCTGCAAAGAACTCCCCTAAAGCAGCCACCATATATTTCCTACCTATCTGTGTATCCCCAATGTGCGGGACAGACTAAGTGAGCTAATAACGTCCTAACCCAAGCTATTAGATACTGTTCGAAAGCTGGCAACCTGGTTCATGGTGGGTGTTGATTAACCTGCCTCTTTTCTCTTCACCTACGGGAAAGTTCCTGACCCATGACATCTGCCCCAGCAGTCACCTGGTAGACCTCCATCCTTTCTCCCACTTCCTCAAAACAACCTCTCTCAGCCATAGAATTTTGCATTTTTCCTTTGTAACATTTTGTATACCAAAGTATTTAGTGCCTGTCTGTTCCAGTACCACTGTAGTCTTCGTGAGGGTAAGGACAGTATCTATCATTTCATCACAGTTCCTAAGAGAGAGCTTAGGACATGGTAGATAGTTAAATAGAGGCATGATATAGGCCCAAGAAGCCTCATTTTCTCTCTAGCAATAAGATGGTAATTTATATAAATAGCCCATTTTTAGGAACATCCAAAAGGATACCAATCTAACTCATACACAAATATATATTTGATACAATTAAACTATTATATATACTAATACTGGGAGTGCTTTCACATATTAGTACGTACTAATATATTATTAGCTGTATAAAAACTTTGGTTTTTCTTGATCACTTAATCGCTCTCATTACATATAAAATATCAACTCAACTGATGTATTTTCTAGTATCATATCCTCATGTGCCTGTGCAAAAGATAGAGAGGAAGACAGAAGAAAAGACTCAAAGACATGAGACAGCCTAGAGCAGTTTTCAAAAGTATGATTTGTTGACAAGATTTTTAATGATATAAAAAAGTAGAACATACTCCTAAGTTAAAAAAATTATTAAACTTGCAGGGTAGCTTCTTTAATCTCTCAAACAATACATTTTATTACCTCATGAGTTATCGGAAATGTGAAGAAACAAGCCAGACTGTTGTGGATACTTGAACTCTAAATTCCAGTGTTTGGAGCAGTCTTTCATTGGCATGATCTCGCAAACATAGCAAAGGTACTTGGATGAGGAAATACAAGTTTTGTGAAGAAAGCACACAACGGTGTCCTTAGAGAACACGTGCACGGGTGAGGAGAGCCCCGCCCAGAGGATGTCTGCAGAAAGAAAGGTGCTTCCAGGGCAGGGAAAACCACGTCCTCCTACATCCAAGTGGGTGCTTTGATTCACATGCACTGTAGCTGCTTGAATGGAAACAGCAACACTTATGTTCTTAGCTAAAGCAGCAGCTTAGTTTTGCTTAGTCACCTGCATGGTCTTCTTGTTGTTTTATCCAGATGTGAAACTTGTAAGTTTAGTTTCTTTCTAGACCACTGATGCCCTGGGATTTGTGTTGTCCTTGGGATTCTAGGTGCCATGGCCATTCTACAACTGGTCATTCTGTAGAGAACAAATGGGATTCGGTATACTCCCAAGGTGCAGCTTATGCAGAAGCCCCAGTGACAGGGGAAGGTCCCCTGGCCAGCTAGAGTGTGGGAAGCTGGTCTCACCATTCTCCACATTTCCTCTGCCTTGCTAAAAACCATTCGATTACATTCCTAAAGCTAGCCACTAAGGTCTATTCCCTTTTTTTCAGCCACTACCTCTTCCTGAGACTGACCATCAAGGTCCAGCTCTCAAAGTATTGAGGTTCAGTAATCAAAAACCCCCTTCGGCTCACCTAATTAAGACGACCAAATAAAATCAAACACTTCATCCTAACAGGGTTTCTCATTTTTCCTTTATAATCCACCATTTTCCTATGTGCCATGTCTATCTCCTCTCTATCCAGAGGCAGTCCTTTGTCCTCCAGGACAAATATTCCTTACCCCTCTTCCTTTCTCTCTCCCTTCTCCCTCTTCCTCTATACCTTGTCTTTGTCTCTTATTCCTGCCCTCTGTCCCTGTGGGGCAAATAAATCTCCTTTGTGCTGAGAACTTGGTCTTGGGGGAGAGTCCGAGCAGATTCTTTTTCTTTCAACAACTATGTCCAATACCACCTGATTCTTCCACTAACACACACAAGACTGAAAGCTCCTGGGAGAGATTAATCTAACATTTATCGTCTAAGGACATGGCCCCTTGATTCCTCACTCCGTTCTCTAAATACTGCTTCACGCTTATCTCTCTGAAACTCTCCCACACAGTAGGAATTAAACATGTGGTTGGCTAAAAGCCAATCTACATACCTGCCTTGGCTCAGGCAACTCCTTCTCCGGTTTCTAGCATCTTTCATTTGATCTGCCAGACTTTCTTGCTTGCCTCTGAGTGTGACACATTTAATTCCCAAAGGTATGACAGAATTATGGTAAAATATGACTAGTGGTTTTGTGTTTCTAGCATGGTTTTTAATGCTTCTATGAGGAAAAGAATTTTTGTGAGTAAACTCTCACACACTTAACTTGAAAATCCTTCCTGGATGTTGCGGAAGGAGGAATTTACCACACAGAGAAGCACCTGGGGAATTCTGGTCACCCCTGTGACTAAACCACGGAAGAGAGGCAGAATGTGCATCTGGTCTGGGCTGACACTTGATTCACGCTTAGTAGAATTAATTCCAGTATCCCGAGAGGGGCCATTCGTATCTCAACTATGAAGAGAGAAGCATGACATGGGGAGACCTACAGGTTAAGCCTAAGGTTTTGTTTCTATCAGTATCAGGATCTTGTTTCAGAGACTCTGCCAAGACACTCCATCCCCATGCCCACTGTGGAAATGATCTTAATGAATGTGTTTCTCACATGTATTGCAATGCTTGACCCGATCTACCTCTTAATTGATGGAAAGAAGCCGTTGGTTCGCTCGTCTAAAGGGACGAGCTGCTCCCCTTATATGGCTACTCCCCTTTATAGCTGTCGTATAGTACACAGCCAGAGCCATTGCCTTTCAAGTCTAGTTCTGAGTATTTCTAGGTGTGCAGTCTTGACAACTGACATCACATCCCCCACACACTACTATGAATCCTGCCTCACAAGCTCTGAGAGTTGGCTTGGAAGCATGGCTCCTGCCCTCAGTTTCCTAAATCAAATTCCTAGTCACAGTGAGAAAATTTAGATAGGAGTATTAAAATCCATATATAGTTTTAAATTTTATGTTACTTTGCTTGAATGATTTTAGTACTCTAAGGATTTATTTCTAAATCTATGTTATAACACTTGAGAAAAGTCTATATAGTATCTTCTCCCAGTTGTGTAGTAACATTATCAAATGTGTGACCAATTCTCCTCCTAAAACTGTTTGTCAGGCAAATGTCATTATGAAGCAGACCAGACATTGTGCATCGTCCTGGCTAGGGGGGGTGATTATGATATTCAGCCTCCTAAGGTCTTTTCATAGAGAATACATTGTTCCCCCCACAAAGCGATGGTTTCTCTTTTTCAAATAAGTATCACATTTATTCATTCTGTGGGTGTGTGGGGAGGTCAGAGGACAACTTTGGAGAGTTGGTGTCTCCTTCTGCCACATGGGTTCTAGGGATCAAATGTGGGTCATCAGACTTTGGGGCAAGTGCTTTTGTCCACAGAACAAACTTGCCAGCACAAGACAATGGCTTTCTAGAGAGGAGAGAGGCATCAAGTAAAGAGAGGGGAGGGGGAGAGGATCATGGTAGGGAGAAGTCCCAGCAGCCAGCACCAGCCCGCACCCAAGCAGAGGCAGTCATTTTGAATTTTCAATGGTGTGAGTAGTTGGTTAACCAGATCCACACCCACTAACGGAAGCCTGGGGAGAAGACAACAGCCAAAGCTCAAGTTTGATAATAACAACCTTCAAAAGAAGAAGAATTACTCCACGCCAATGAATTAAGAGTACTTGGCATATAGCAAAAACAGAATTAGTGATTCTGAGTAATAATGAGTTCTCAGGTTCTGAAGCAGTCTTAGGTTACAAAGTCTTCACGCGATGACTCCAATGGATGCTCAGGTTCCGAAGAAGTCTTAGGTTACAATGTCTTCACACGATGACTGCTCAGGGAAACTGAGTCACGTTCATGCATTTGAGGCTCAGCAAATGCAGTTATTAAAAGTAAATTTTCTCAGGCCTAGAAAACATAGGACTGCTCCCCTGGTAGCAGTATCATCATGCACAAGCCGCGCCTCATCTGCACTTCCCTGGGCAGCCAGGGGAATCCTCCTCTTGCGAGTGTCGGTGCTGTTGACATTTGCACAATTTTTGTCAACTCAACATTAAGTAGGAAACAATTGCTTCCAGCTCTCACAGAGAATCTTTTGGCCACCTATGATCTCAACTTTAAGAAACGGAAGTTTTTACTGACCTTAGACTCTTCTGTGCCAAATGCTTCATACCTGCTTTTCGGGTATATATATGCTTATTCCTGCACTACATGGAAGAGCTTTCTGAGAGAGAGCACTTCAAAACGCTCTGTGTTGAGCAGAGCTAATATGTGTGTTAGTTTTAACAAATAAATGATCTCCCAGAACCCATAAAAAAAGGAGCTAGTAGATAGGTTTTATTTTGGGTCCTAGAAACTAGCTTGTTTCCTGAAAGATTGCTATTTATAAGGCAATTTAAGGGGATAGACAAAAATAACTTACCACACATTTTAGAAAATGGGGGTGATAGTGAAAGATTAATAAAATAAGCTATTAAGTTATTTTTAAAGCTAGGCACCTCTGATATCTATTCATTTTCTAGTAGTTCTAAAAATTATAATTTTATATAAACTAGCTGCTTCTAATCAGATGGCTGTTATAAGATATTCTCTGCACATTTTCAATGAATTATCATTGTTTTCCATATTTTACTTTTACCATTGAAACAGGAGAAAAAGGTTTATACAAATCACAGGCATAGCAATCGACAGTAATAGTAGTGACTATAAAGCATTATTTAAAGCCCAGATGCTTTGGGCAAATATTTTAGGTCTTTCGTGAGATAGAAAATGTTAAATGAATAAGTCACACAAGAATATTATGTCAGACACATAATATGTGTTTATTTCTTAAACAAGAAGACGTTAACAGATGTTTTATATCAAGACTAATAAGGCTTATAAAACTTACACGGCAATTGATTTGTTGGTACGTCCTCCAGAACCTTATTGACAGTGTCTGTTTTGTGATAAGATTTTCTTAAAATAGGTCATCATAGTGTGTGCCTGCAATCTTAGCACTTGGGAAGGTGAAGAAGGACCATGAGTTCAAGGCAACCCTAGGCTATAAAACAGCATTCTCAACCTTCCTAGTGCTGAGACCTTTTAATGTAGTTCTTCGTGTTATGGTGACCACCTAACCATAAACCTATTTCATTGCTATTTCATAAGTGCAATTTTGCTGCTGTTATAAATCATAGTATAACTATTTGATATTCAGGGTATCTGATATGTGACCCCTGTGAAAGGGTCATTCGCCACCTCCCCACAAAAGACCGAGACCAACAGTTTGATAACCATTGCGATATAGCGAGTGTGAGGCCAGTGTGGTCTGCATTGAGCAACTGTATCTTGCACCCAAGAAGAAAGAATTACAAAAACCTTACCAATCGAAGATGGAAAGAAGTTTGAATAGTGTTAAATATATATAAAAAGGGCACAGTGAAGCCAATAAATATTGTCAGCCACACATAGGATTGTTTGCAGTGGCCAGAAAAATGAAAGATCGTGAATAATGTTAAAATCCTTTGTATTCCACTCAGAGTTTTGGAATATGAGGAACTTATGTAATGACCCATATAGAATCATTCATTTCCTTGTGCAGAAAGATCTTTTTGTGCATATGTATTTAATGTGTGTCTCTATAAATGTATATACATACATACATATATATATATATATACATACAGATAGAATAAAAATGCCAAATTTCTATTTGGCAATGGTAGCTTACTGATGGCTACCGTTGAAAAACAGTAGTATGGAGTAACTATGAAGAGGAAAGAACATACTTAATTTTCATGTATCTATGGTGTATGAATATTTCTTTAAAAATAAAAGAGTCAACAAATATTTTTATCTTGACATTCACACACTTATACAGTAGAAACGCGTAGTTTATTGTATAAATATACAAGAGAGTGTGTTTATTTATTTGGATGAAATTACAAAAGAAAATTTACTTAAAAGACAGAAGGAAGCCCATATTCACATACCCGAAGGAATCCATTTAGTTAGTGACTCATATTTCCTCTCTATGTGCCTAAAGAATTCTGACATTTCTCGAGAACCAAGACAGGAACTTTCTTCGTCATTTGGTAAGGGAAAGGCAGCTCTTTTCAAGGAGCTATGACCGAAAGTAGGATTGGTATCTTTTAAGCCCCCCAGACTGCACTGGAAGGGTGTGGCTCGTGACTACCTGCTCACACAGAGAAAATGCTTTTAGCAGTTTGTCCTCGGTCTTAGTCCTCTAAGTCGGGTGCTTATACATCTGTAAGAGTCAGACATCGAGAGTGGCAGGCAGCAGGAGTGGGGCTGAGATGATGCACAGCTTGTAGCTAACTCTGCAGGATTTTTAACCTGCCTGGTCAGTGTGGGCTGGGCACAACTTGACCGTCCTTTTATGGTCACATCAGGGCTACACTCACTTTTCCCTCTCCACCTCTTCAGCAGTATAAAAAGAGGTGTGGAGGCATATCACACCACAGAGCAGCAGGGTTCCAGGCAACAGCTCATCCTCACGCCGAGTCTCCTGGCTGTGGAAGCAGGTTCTAGCTCAGTCTTCTCCACCATGGGCTTCAGACTCAGACTGACATCCTCCGGCCCCGGGACCAGCCCACTTCATAATCTACAGGCATTGTCGCTGCTGGTCCTGCTCCTCACTGCCCTGGTTCCCACGACAGTTGGACAATGTAAGAGAAATTCAGGGAAAGATGAAGGCGGAAGGCCACTTACCTTCAGCTTTTGTCGCGCAGCTTGTGATGTGTGTGTGGGAGGCTGGAGGCGTGCACAAAGTCGCTGTACTGAGGCTTCTGGGTGTGGGGGGTATGATGACCAAGAATTCTAAGATATACTTAATGGGCACTTCATGTGTGGAAGGCAATCTGCAAGCTTTGTTAGTGAAGGTTTGCAGGTCATATTCACAATGTCTGTGTGAAAGAAAGACAATTACTTCCAATCTCCAGGTAAGGAAAGAAAGAAAGATAATTTCTAATCACTAATTAAGTCTTGTGTTCCAATGTAGCAATTGATGTGGACCCGTATATTGAATTGCGCTGTCAATGTACGAAAACAATCTCTGGAATCCCACTGAATAGAATTTCCTTGGTGAACGTGTTCAGGCCAGGAGTCCACTGTGCCAACGTGGAAGTGATGTAAGTCCCTAGTTCTTTGTTCTTCTTGTCATTAGGGAACCCTTCATCTTTACCTATCCTCTCTTCTCCATCCTCAGGGATTTGTTCTGACAGAGACTGACTTATATGAAGATAATAATCCTGTTCTCTGTTGCAGAGCCACACTGAAAAGTGGAGGAAAAGTCTGCCTGGACCCCAATGCCTCTGCTATCAAGAAAATAGTTATGAAGATATTGGAAGGTTATTGACCAGCCAACTGTGGACTTTCTGCTAAACCATTTTACTTTGCAGGAAGGGTCGGGTTTTGAAATCTGAATGTTCTAGAATCATTTTCCACCTTAAAATTGGGATATACTTTCATTTTGTCTCAGAACTCGCCTTGTGTTCTGAGAAGGTATATTAAAGGCTGTTGCAAAGAAGATGAAAGTGAGCTGAGTTGGAACTTGCAGTTGATGGGTTATTTCTGCAATTCTTGGCTAGACATTGCACTGTGTTTTGCATTTCTTTCATTGAAGTTTTCTTTCCAAGTGCATTATGTCAAGTTTTATTTCTGTATTTTTTGAATTATTTCTTTTAGGTTTGAGTTTATAGGTTGATCACTTTTCCCTTCCCTTTCCCCCTCCAAAACCCTTTTATGTACCTTTCCTGTTCTTTTTCATACTTACGCCTCTTTTTTCATTAACTGCTGTTATACACATATATGTATATGCATATTTATTGAAAGACTTAACAACAATCAATAATAATAGGAACTGCCTGGATCCAAGCAGAGCATACTTGTTCAGTGGATACTTGTTTGCAAGAGTTTTGCCATTGTCTTAGCCCAAGAATGCCTTGTTTCCAAGCAACCTCTGCAATGTTCTCTAGTGTTTGTTTTAACCTTCAAATTGAACATAATAAAGTCATAAAATATATAAGTTCTATAAGCAGTAGTAATTTACTTTCTAAAAAGTCTGCTCAACACCAGCAGCACTGAAAGTGTGTGACGAAAAGGGGATTAACACCCTCTGGTTTTTTAAAACTTCACCCTCGTCTGAAACATTGAAACATGTTAGATAGGTCTTACCTGCTGCTAACTGGTTTAGTATATTCTCTCTCTCTTACACTGAACCTGGGGCATCATGTAGGGTAGGCAAGTGTTCTGCCACTGGGCAACATTCCTAGGCCTCTATTTTTTAAAAACCAATATTTGGTATTTCACAATATTTTCACTAAGTTGATGATCTGTGCCATTTTCAATATCGTACACTAGCAAGATTTATTTCTTAAAAATGCTAGGCATATTAAGTATTCTATGTGTGTTAGTTACTAGTCTCTTTATCTCTAAAATGTGAATGCTCTCTTGCCTGTCTAATAGAGCTGGTGTGAGAAAATGCAAAGACTTTAAATACTGCATATCACATAATAACCCACTTAGAGATGTCAGCAATTGGCTATTAGCAGAACTACTAGCATTCCCCACATTAGGGGAGGGAGGGAACAGAGACTTCCTTTGGGTTGGAAATGTAGCTCAGTGGTAGAGCACTTACCCAGGATGTGAGAGTCCCTGGGTTCAGTTCCCAGCAGGGCTAAAAGAAACCTGCTGTAGGGCATAAAATGATCAGAGTTGGTATTTGAATCCTGCTCTTTGGCCTCAGGAGCACAATGCTTTCATTGATTTATCCTTCCCTAGGGAGTCTATATTACATGTCACAGCATGTTACTGGCACACAAGATACTACTTGTGATAGAACTCTACTACTGTGTACTTATTAATATTGATCATGGAGAGAAAAAGATTTCATCGACTTCAATCTGCACGTGGACTTTGGGGAAACACTTATATGCTACTCATGTAGGCCACTCAAACTCTGCGTAACTGGAGAGTCCCCCTTTGCGACTCTTCACCAGCCGAGGCTTGGTGCCTAAGGGTATTTTGCCTGTAAAATAAACACTTATCCAGTAAAAACCACACAAGTGTCTATAAACACATGACGAAGCAGAAAACGGAGACAATTTTCACTAGCTCTGCTCCAACAACGAGAAACAGCTGCAGCATCCTGTGCCCATGCTAGGTAGTCTCCCTCCCCTGGGAGTTAGCAAGGCTGGTCCCAACACTGCAATGCTTATCTATGCTGATTTTTCTGGAGATCAAAGTATCTTTTGTGGCTGTGTACCTACACTGGATTATTTTCTTTCAATGTGGAGGAAGGTTGCCTTGACTGACAGTATTGCCCTAACTCCTTCTCTCTGCAAATGCTGCAATCTGGGGCTAAGCTGCACGGAGTGTTTCTTTGTTGTCCATGTTCAAACCCTCTTATCCATTCCTTTTAATGCTGACATAGCAGGGGCCTTGAGTTTCAGTTCCCTAAACACACAGAAATTATGGCATGTTTTGCAGTAGCCATCGTAGCCGATGCTGAGTATTCAGAAACATATGCTCCAGGGAATTATGACTGGCAATATCATGATCCAGGATAGGCAGATAAATGGCCATATAATTACAACCGTATGTGGCATAATGCAATACAGAGACTTCCAACGGTCTTAGCAAACTCTCTTATCAAAGATGTCATCAAAAAATGCATTCAAATATAACTGGTGATTTTTCCGAAAAGAGCAATGAGGACAACGGACCTTGCTTCCTGCAGTAGACGAGACAGTAGTTAGGAGATCAGGGAAGGCTTCTGTATAAGGATGAAATTCAGAAGTCATTGCCCAGACACTAACTTTAACCCTGCTAGTGGCAGAAAATAAATTTCCAACCACACATCTCTAACCACACGGTGGTCAAATTCACAGTTATCAGCAGGAAGAGTGACAGACAAGAAAGGCAGGAGAGAACAGCCAGTTTGGGGGTAATGCAGCTGGGGGTTGGGAAGGCAACAAATTGGTCCTGAAGGTACACGCTCTGTAAACTGTATGGTGACAGCAGAAAGCTCTGTCACAGGCAGCACACCGTTTGCAAACTTCAAGTCCTTCTCTTTCTGACTCTGTCACTGTTCATATGAGTTCACATCAGAGAGGGGGCTCCTGCTACCAGTTACTAGTCAAGACAGCTGACCTCAGCTTTTCATTCCGCTCGGTTTTGTTTTAATCTTGGCTGGCCAGAGCCCAGTTACTGTTCCCCAAGTGTCTTTGCTTCCGCAGGACAGTTCCTCATCCTGTATCCCAGGTTTCCGGGCTGGGCTGCCAGTGGAGATAAAAAGTGCCTGGAAGATCTCCGGAACCACTGGCCTGTGCTTAGAGCCCCAGGCCCCAGTAGCCCTGTGCGAGTCCTTGGATCTGGTACCACCCTCTTGATATGAGCGCTGCTGCGGTGTTTCGAGGCCCCCGGCCCAACCCTGGGCTGCTGCTTCTGGGCCTGTTGCTTCTGCCAGCTGCGATTGCCATCACCACTGGTGAGAGAGGGTGAAGGGATCCCAGGGCCAGGGAAATGGGTCAGGAGCCCCAGGGGTGGGGAGGTGAACTCCTAGACACCAGTCATACTGTGTTGGCTTGCCAACTGTGCTGCACTGCCCACCTGCCTTCGAGGAAGTGGTGATGCTACAGCCAAGGGTGAAGAAAAGGTTCAGAGGTACAACTGGCCAATGATGTGGTCACCCATCACCTCCTCCTTTACTCCTTTCTCCCTTCTCCCTTTATGCCCTCAGCTAGTCCCGAAGAAGGCGATGGAGGTCTTCACTGTGTGTGTGTGAAGACCATCTCCTCTGGGATCCACCCTAAACATATCACCGCCCTGGAGTTGATCAAGGCAGGACACCACTGTGGGGTTCCCCAGCTCATGTGAGTTCTGCCCACACCCTTAGGTCTGTCCTCTCCGCTGCCTGTTCCTTTCTGTCTCTTCCCTTCTTCCAACCAAGGCCCTGAAGGTTGCGTTCCTTCCCTTTCCCCTGACAGAGCCACTCTGAAGAATGGGATGAAAATTTGCCTGGACAAGCAAGCACCCCTGTATAAGAAAGTAATCAAGAAACTCCTGGAGAGCTAGGTTCTAACTGCCTAAATCTGCATTGTGTTATGTGGGATGCTGGAGTTGTGGCTATTTTCAATCTAACGGCAACTTTCCAATGTTTATATTTTCCTTTGAGACTAAATAAATGCATTGAACCAAAATGACATAAAGTCAAATCATTTCTTTGTACTAAAATTAATGTTGACACATCGTATGTAAGAAAACAGCTCCAGGACTTTAAAGAAATATATTTTGAAGAAAGATTTGGCCTAAGAACTGAATTTGATTGGCATCATGGGTAGTATTCCGGCTGATGAATATTTGCATATTTACCCAGTTACATTGTCTCATAATTACATTTTAGTTTTGTGTGGTGGTCAGCTTTGTCAATAAATCATTCCTAAGTTGCCTTTAAAAATAAGCACCTAAATCAAGCTTTGATTCTGCTTCCTTAAGATTTTGTTTTGTTTTGTTTTGTTTGTTTTTTGTTTTTCGAGAAAGGGTTTCTCTGTAGCTTTGGTGCCCGTCCTGGAACTAGCTCTAGTAGACCAGGCTGGTCTCGAACTCCCAAAGATCCGCTTGCCTCAGCCTCCTGAGAGCTGGGATTAAAGGCGTGCGCCACCACCGCCCGGCCTTCCTTAAGATTTATACTCTATTATTATCATAAAAATAACAAAAACAAAATGAGAAAGAATACATAATGCTAATATGCCAATATTTCCAAGAAATGATATGAAACTATATTTCCATTTATTGGTTATTAAAGAATGTTTATATTTCTAAAATCGAAATATTAAAAACAGCTCCTGTTCTTCCATTATTGCCTGGAAGGGTTCTTCATTCAGCAAACTTACAGTTCTGCCGTGTCCAGTAACATCTGTGGCTGTTGCTCTAAGTGTGTAGATGTCCTAGGTAGACTGTCTGCAGTATTCTCGGCTTCAGAAGTGCCTTATTTGTAAGCCAATTTTCCTTAACAACCCATGACATCAGAAATATTAGTATGATATGATAAGCAGCTATGGGAACCCAGGAGTGGTACCAGGTGGTGTTTTATTTTTGGTTTTTAAGGGGCAGCGAATTTTTTTTAACCTTTTCTTTTTTTATTCTTTGCTTCTTTCACATCTGGTTTCTGCTACACTGTTGATGATGGGCCTTCAATGGACTCCTCTTGATTATCCTGTTGTTGCCCTATGTCGTGGAGATCCTGTAGGTTTGTGTCTGCAGGACTGGTTCCTTCACATGCTCCAGAAGATCACAAATTGGGTAGATGTTGGTTCTGAGCCCGTGTGGTTGCAGGGTTGGCCAGCTTACCAGCTCTCCCTTGCTTTCATTACCAGGGTGAACTCTCCTGCATTGCCCTGGCTGGGCCACCCCTTACAGTGAAGAGCAAGGGGTGGGGTCAGTTCTCTCGCTTTCACATCCTTAGGAACACTCCTCCAACACCTACACCTCAGGGCCAGCTCTGCTGTGTTGCTCAGGTGTGGCTTATAGGAGCTACTCTTCTGAGCGCTGCAGCTGATGAGGGGCAGTGACCGTTATCCCGCTCTTATGACCTCAGGGCCAGCTCTCCCGCCTGCCTCAGGCATTGATGAGGAAGGGTATCTCTTCCCCACCCGTGGTGTCACATCACAGATAACTAATGGGGACAGCTCTCTCAAGCTCACAACTTCGGGGCTGGTTTACCCACACCCCTGCTGATGGGTTTGGCTTTATTGTGCTGCCCAGGCAAGGCACAGGGCCCGCTCTCCTGAATGTTGCAGTTGGTGGGGGACACGGGCAGCTCTCCTGCTCATATGGCCCAAACCAGGTGGTTTTTCCCTCATCCTTCAGAAGACAACTACCACATACTGGAGTGTGGAAGATGCTGTGCTGTTTGTATATTGGTCAGGCATTGTGTATTTCCTCTCACTCCTGGTCTCTTATAAAGACCTTTGTATATTCTCAGAACCCCATTGG